CAGGAGAGAAGGTGGGGAGGGTCAGGCAGGAGGGCAAGGGGAGCTCACAGATGCTGAGGGGCTCTTCTGGCAGGTCCTCTCTCTTCCCTTGCAGCCCTCTGTTACCTCGGTCTCTTCCCAGCTCCTTCACGTGAACCTAAGTCCTTTTGTGTTCCAGCCCAGGTGCCCTAGGTCCCCTCTTTAGGATGCTCTCGACCCCAGGCTCCAGATAACGCCCGGCCAGCTCCTCCCCCCATCAGAACTGGCCCATGCTGTGCTCTGCACCTCAGCCCCTGCTGGGGTGCATGACCCCCGATGACCCTGCGTAAGGAGATTGCAGAGGGGATTCAGACAGGCGTTTGACATCAGGCTGACTTACTTGCCACATGAAATAACAGATATAAGATACATGGCCCGGAACTGACACCCACAAGGGCCAAATGCATTGTGGGTATTACTATGGCAATCCTCAATTGTATAGAATTCTATTATGGTTATTACCAATTATTAAAAAAGAAGCAAAACTTTGCCATTTTTAAGCTGTTTTTGCAGCTATCACCTCATTTTACCTTCCTATTTTATAGGCCAATGCATCTCAAACTACCTGGGTAAAGGCCCAGTTTTATTATTATTATGCCAGGCTGTTGTACACCAATGCTGTTACAAAATACAATAAAAATTAATTACTAGAGAAATAAATTGAAAAATAGGCATGCAGAGCTAAGCTCCAATTTTTATTATTGGATTCAACAGACATAAAATCACTGCATCAAATTTCTACGAATGTTTCTAAGAATGTTTCTCAACTTCTGTAATTACTTTGTTGGGGTGGGGATGGGGGCCGCTGACTGTGGACCACCCATATGTAGCAAAGCAGCAGGCAAGGAAACTGGGACCCAGCAAAGCTAAGCCACTTGCTTGGGTCTTCCAACTCCAAAGCTAAGTCCGTGTCACTAGGGATCTTAGCCCAATCCTCTCCATGTAGAGTTGGGCAGGGGGGAAAAAAAAGCCAACTGGAAGCCCAGAGACGGACAGCACCAAGCCCCAAATCACACAGTAATGCAGTGGCCAAGTGGAGACTGGAACCATATGCCTAGCCCCTGCCAGAGCTATTTCCCGCCCACAGACATCCTATCTCGATCGGCCAGGGCCCTGGAGGCCCACGGACTGAGTCATGCAGGACTCTGGGAGGTATTTCTGACAGGCAGTGGCCACTGGCCCCCACGCATCCTCAGGCACTGCCCAGCCCTGCCGTCCGGCACCATCCCCGCCCTCTCAGACACTGCGGGGGCTGTGCTGGCTGGTTCCAGTTAATCAACTGGCTCTCTTACTGTTCCAAAAATAAATATGCCAGAGAAGGGGACGCCAGTGAATGAGCAGCCATCGTCTCCCCCTCCCCACCCTCCAGCCCCTTTCTCCAGCTGCACACGGCGCCCTGGGGCTCAGCCAATGGGAACAGCCCCCAGCCCACCACCCTGCAAGGAAAAGCCACGTCCCCTCCACTTCTGGAAAGGAATGAAGAAATGAAATCACTGTGTGTTTCTGATACACTGGCACAGCTAACCAGAGCTGCCTGAGCCGGGTCTTATAAATATCTCCCTCAAGCAGCACACAGTGGCCAAAGCTCTCTCGATGCTCAAATCCGAGTTAGGGGAACAGCTGCCTCCCCGGCCCTGCCCAGCCCTCTGATAGCACGTTTCCTGACTCAGAGAACAGAGCAGTGGCCCCACGCACAGTGCCCGAAGGCAATCCCTGGAAATAATTCAAATATTCAAATATCAGCACCAATGGCTTCCTCAAAAAAAATAATCATAATAATAATTAAAAGACACAACAGAGAGATGGTTGGGGCTGGGATTATTACGGTAAGCAGAAAGCGGGGGGAAGGAGGACTCCATCCATCTTATCAGCGTAGACTGAGACCTGCACTCGCACATTTATAACTAGGTAGGCTGGAGAATGACCTGGTGTCAACAGGATTTCTGAGACCGATTTTCATAGGAACTTCAGAGCATGTGAACAAGTGACTGCCATCGCTGAGCACCTACCACGTGCCACGCATTGTGCTAAGCATTGCCCAAGAGCTGGTGTGCCCAGCACAGAGTGAGCGCTCGATGAGTATTTGTTTGGATGGGTGGATGGGTGATGGATGGACGGGAGGACGGATGGGTCAGTGGACTGATGGATAGATGGCAGGGCATGGATGGATGGATGAATAAATGGAAGAAAAATTAACCCTATTCCTCAAAGCAACCCCATTTCACAGATGAGTAAATGAAGCTCAAAGAGGTTGAGTGATCTGCAAAGTCACTCACCCGGTCAGCAACTGCACTGGCCCATGCAGACCCAGCTTCCTGTTGAAAGAAAGCACTCTGTAGAAGCTACCAGCAGCAGCTGGCAGGTATTAGCCAGGCACTCTGAGCCAGACAGTGTTCTGAATATTTCCATCTTAATTTACTTAATCCTCTGACAACCTGGGAGGATGAAATAAATTAAGGAGACAAAGCCAGGAAAATGAGGCACAGAAAAGCTAAGTTACTTGCTCAAGTTCAGCCCTGATAAGGAGCCACACTGGACTCGAACCTCAGTCGTGTGACTTCGGAGCCAGGGCTGTCCTCTACTCTGCTGCCTCTGAGAGGACAGCCACAAATAATTAAAGAATGGAGGAATATTCTAGGATAAAGGGACAAAGCAGTGGGGCTGCCACGGGGCTGGAGAAATAGCTGGCTCTTGGAACTGGCTGGGTGGCCCTGCCCTGGGGCAGGTCTCCGGCTGACAAGGGCCAGACCTGGGAGGGGACAGCCACAGCACAGCCGGCATCTACCGTGGGGTCTGACCCCAGCTGGGGCAGCAGGAAGAGCACTGGATTAAAGACAGGATGCCTAGATTCAGTCTGGACCCCGTGAGGGCCCCGGCCAGGTTCTCCGCCCACCTGCAAGGTGAGCAGGCAGGACTGGGTGATCTGTGCGTGGGGAGGCCCCACCCTAAAGAACGGCTGCAAGAAAGAGGAGCCGCCAGGCCCTGAGCAGGAGAGGAAGAAGGGAGAGGGTCTGCTGGGACAAAGGCAGGGAGGCCACCCTCTGTCCAAACGCCTCCCCGTGCCAGCAACAGTTCCTGAGGCCACACGGTGTCTCCAGGAGCCAGGCTGTGAGGCGGCAGGGACAGGCTGGGCATTGGCCTGACAGGGGTGGGCAGGCCAGACAGGTCAGGACACCTCGACCTGCAGGCCCCAGGCCCCGAGGTTGACTGAAAGCTCCAGAGGGAAAGAAACGCACCCACGCGGTATCCTGAGTATTAGGGAAATACAATCTGGAGACCTTTCTGTTTTCTTTTTTCTATTAATTTTCTGTGATGTGGCTATGTTTTCTATAATGAAAAGTAATTTTAATAATAACTATGCACACAGAGGAGCGGACGCCATCCCCACAACCGAAGTGGGAAAGGGACCCCCGGGAGACTGATGTTTGGGCTCCGGCCCCTGTGGCCCCCGCGCCGGCCCCTCCCGTGGGTCTGATTCGTCCCTGCCGTCATCCAACCACCTTTATTTAAATGGCCTAGGAGCTCGGCTAGAAGGGAGACATCTCGGAACGGTTCAGGCATTTCTACATTTGCCGAGCACAGCAAAGAGCTCGGCGCCCTCCTGCGCCACAGGCCCCGCTGGGGATGACCCTGGGGAGCCCAGTCACTGCGCCCCGGCGTTTGTTCGGTGCTTTTCAATTGTCCAGTTGATTTCCAAGCCTTCCGTCCTTTCATCCTCGCAACCCCGCTGGAAGGTGTCACTGCGTCCATTTCACAGATGAGACCGCTCAGGCTGAGCGACGCCAAGTGGCGCTGCCTGTGAGCGGGCAGCCATGGCGACGCTTGCTGCACAGCAGGGACTCCAGGAAGGTTCCATATGTGACGTGGCCAAAAGTAGCCTCTTTTTAAAAGTCCACTGATGATTTTTTCCCACTTTCCGAATGGGGCTTCGGTGCCTTCATCCGTGGGATGTGTGAACTCGAGTGTGAACTGGGCGCCCAAAGGAGGGACAGGCTGGGTGGGGTCGGTTGGGAGGGGAGAGGAAGGTCACCATGGGACTCCGGTGAAACAAATTCGGCCTCGTCCACCGGGTCCTCCGGGCCGGCTCAGCCACACTCGGACACCAGATACCCTTATTGGCCAGGGAGGCTCACCCCGGGGACTGCATGGCCCTCTTTGCCAAGTGCCAGAATAGCTCATGCACCTCTCCCCATCCCGCCACCACCACCCTGGACCAGGCGCCACCCACAACGGCTCCCAGCTGGTCCCCCACACCCGTCCTCACTCCCAGCCCTGCCACGACCCCAACTGCAACAGCCGGAACGAGTTGCTCAAAACCCAGATTTAACTGAGCCGCCACCCATGCAAAAGCTTCCAAGGGCCCATCGCACTGAGGCCGGCCAGCCTCCCCTCTCCAGCCTCAGCCTGGCCACTCTGGGCTAGCACTCGGCCTTCCGGAAGCACCTGCATGTCCCTGAGCCCACGCTGTGTCTCCCCTCAGCTCTTGGCAGTCACTGCTTCTGCCCTGATCCCTTTCCCGGCCCACAACTCGCACCACCTGGCCGCCTTCAGGTACCCGTAAACTGTGGGGGTAGGGACTGTGCTGACCACTGGCCTACCCACGGGTGCTCAGCAAGTCTTCGCAGGACAGGTGTGACCGTCCGACACCCTTAGGATCAGAAAGAGAATTTGAAAGCGGTGGCTCTGGCACCGCCTCTAACTTACTGCTGGCTTTAAGCAAGTCGCTCGACTTCTGGGGCCTGTGTGTCCATCCGTAAGGTGAGGGGTTGGACGGGTCTCTGTTGTGCTGACCAGCATGGCCCAGGGACCAGTGGCATCACTGGGGAACGCATCAGAAATGCAGGGCCTCGGGCCCCACTCCAGACCCGCAGGGCCAGAGTCCCGGGGATGGGGTCCAGCTGCCAGGATGTAACAAGCCGTCCAGCAGGTTCTGGGAAGTGGGTAGACGCGTGAGTTGAGGATTCCCCATCCCGCCCCTGCAGGTGGATTTCGAAGACGTGATCGCGGAGCCCGTGGGCACCTACAGCTTCGACGGCGTGTGGAAGGTGAGCTACACCACCTTCACCGTGTCCAAGTACTGGTGCTACCGCCTGTTGTCCACGCTGCTGGGTGTCCCGCTGGCCCTGCTCTGGGGCTTCCTGTTCGCCTGCATCTCCTTCTGCCACATCTGGGCGGTGGTGCCCTGCATCAAGAGCTACCTGATCGAGATCCAGTGCATCAGCCACATCTACTCGCTCTGCATCCGCACCTTCTGCAACCCGCTCTTTGCCGCCCTGGGCCAGATGTGCAGCAGCATCAAGGTCATGCTGCGGAAGGAGGTCTAAGGCCAGGGGACGATGAGGGTGATGGGGCAGGGACGTCAGGCCAGGCTAGCCCCCGCTACTGCTCCACAGGGCCAGCGAAGAGCTCAATCTCTTTAGGGACTGCTCAATTTTCCCCCACGATGGGAGCACACGGCGTAGGAAAGCCAGAAAGAACACACAGCCCAGCCAGAGGCCCGGCCCCACCGCGGTGCCCCACGAGCGGCGTGAGGGCGGGCCGTTTGCTAAGAGGCAGCTATTGCAAGTCTTTGCGCTCACTTGTACTGTGACAGCATCAGCCAGCACTCAGTCCCCGCCCCAGGGTCGACCCGTCCACGTCCACCCAGGAAGTGGCCAGTGACTGTTGTCATTAGGTGGGTGGCTGCAATAAAGGGTTTCGGCTGCATTTGGGGAACGCTGTGTTTTGTTTGTGTCTGGAAGGTTGGTGTGTGTCCTCACCAGCTCCGAAAATGTCTCACTGTCCTGAGAAACAGAAACCTGGAAAGCTGGTTGCCTCTTCACTTGGTCAAATCCAAGGACCAGGACACAGATGGTTTTTCCTTGAGACTCAACTTGTTTTGGGAATCTGCCCGCCACGTTCCTTGGGAGATTACGTCCCAACGACTTCTGTTGCCTCCGAGCCCACTAATGGGCCCCAAGGGAGGAAAACGGCCCTTGTGCTGGCAGAGGCGGTGACCCTCCCCGGGTACCACAGAGGGCAGGGCCTGGGTTCAAACCTCCCTGAACCTCCCCTTTGGCTCACCAGACACTGAGCCCCTGCCATGCCCAGCACTGCCACTTGGCACGTGTATACTTTCAGCCCTAAGGTCTGATGTGTGCACGTGTGGACTGGCTGTGGGAATAAAAAGCACTAGAAAGCGGCATGTGCCACCTCCTCCCTCCTCCGACAAATACACACACACACACACACACACACACACACACACACACACACACACACACAACAACCCAGCAAGCACTCTTACATTGGGAAAGGGCTGCCTTTCCCAAGTGTGTTATCCAGAATTTAGTCCTCAATAAAAAGGGGGGCAGGTTAGCATCTGTGGTCAAATTCATTTAGAAATACTGTATATTTCTCTCAGAGATTTTCAATATACATTGGCATATTAAAGGCTCTGACAAGTCCTGCAGCAGAGAAACCTGTTTAGACCAGTACTCCCAATCCTATCTAACCTTTTCTTGTTTTCTTTTCATGCAACACCCGTTTAAGTCCCTTATAATTAAGGGTCCACAGCACTTTTCAGGTTTTCAGAAGCACCATCTCAATCAAGGCCACAGCCCAGTGGTCTTGAGGGGCAGTGCGGTGGACAGACCACACATGCATTGCGAGCAGGACACAGGCAGCTTTGGTCCTAGTCCTGCTTCTGCCCCTTCTCTGCCACAATTTATGCTCATCCATAAAATGACCTCTAATGTCTATTTCAGCTGTAAAATTTTACCTGTTCGGGTTTTTTCTAACGTCTTATGTAAATTTCAAACAGAGAAAAGTTGAATAGGTTTTCAGTGAACAACTATATTTACATCTGGGCTCTACAGTTAACATTTTGCTACTCTTGCCTTCTCGCATCTTCATCACTCTATCCATCCCTCTGTCCTCCAATCTCATCTTTCTTTATTCATTTTAAATTACATTGCAGGCATCAGTACGTTTTACCCCTAAACGCTTCATCGCTCATCCCTTGTTTCTGCAGATGAGAAAGTTACAGCCCAGAGAGGTCAGCAGACTGGACAAAGGGCACCCAGCAGGCCAGCACTAGCCCTGTGGCCTGAGCCCACTGCCTGTGATCTCCCCAGGCTCTTCCACGTTCTCGAGTGGGCTCGCGGGGCACAGGCTCCTCCTGCTGACAAGGGTCAAAGCTGGCGTTACTCACATCCCCCTCGAAGGGGCTGCCTTTTCAAACATCTCTTGAAATCATGAGGCCATCGTTCCAGACTTGGAATCTTGGGCTATACAGAGATGTTCGCCCTCTCGGCATCTGCTACAAGCGGATTTGACTACCGCTCCCATTTTCCAAGCTCGCTCTCTCTCCCTAAGGGCAGACCACGGCAGGTGCTCAGGTACCCGTGAAGTTCACAGAACTGGAGACAGGACACACATTTGAGATGCCCGGACGTCCGAGGACTTCTGCTCCCTCCAGGAGTCCCCTGACAAGCACATTGGGGGTGTAACAAGCACGGGCCCAGGGCAGGAGGGTGGAACCCACTTGCTCTCACACACCCCACACGGATCACCAGGGACTCCCGGTTAAAAGGAGGTTCTGGGGCTCCAGCTCCCAAGGCCGCCTCAATAGTAGAGCCCAGGAATCTGCATTTTAACACAAGCTCATTTGTGATTCTGCAGGTGGCCCCCAAGTGCCCCTTCACGGTAACAGTCTAGAATCCTGTTATCCACAGAGTTGGACCACGGCACACAGAGGGTTCCAGGATATCACACAAAAAGGTTGTTGCTGGGCCTTAGAGCATCTTCCCACAGAACTCTGACAAATGAGCGCACCTGTGACTACAGAGCAGGGGACCAGGTCGCCCTCTTGCCCCCGCCATAGTTCATGTGCCTCTGTCATAACCAAGCAGACAGCTCTGAAGCCCCGCAGGGCAACGGGAGGACTCTACGAGCCACCAGATACAGTCGCTGTTGTTGGGAGGGAGAACAAGGGCAAAGCGACGTGTGGAAAACATGGTTCTTAGGTGCACCTTGTATCAGGCAGCTAACGAAGCGACACCTCACGATGCCACATCAGTCACCAACGGGCACAGTGCACAGGGGCGCCACAGTCGCCACCGTAGAGCAAAATCAAGGCGTTCACATTTTGTGTTGGGCAGTGTTTCATTGCAACTGAATACAAAAAAGGTGAAGCACTTTCAAACCCCGATCTTCATAAAAGGCAGCCTGCATTGCCTCTTGTGTTTCCTGCAGTGGCAACACACAGACTCATTCCGAAAGGAGACCAAGTACGTGACAGACCTTTTTCCCAGGCCCTAAAGAAACAAGGCTCAGAGGCTACAGTCACTTTTGATGATCAGAACAATGAGACATTCCAGAAGAACATCTGCATGTTCCAATATGGGCACCTCCAGCCACGTGCATGGCTTGTAAACAGGTCTGGAACTGTAGGGAAGGTCGGCTGGCGTGGGGTCCGGGGGAGGAGGCCAGGAGCCACTGAGCTCTAGGTAGCGTTGTGGACCCTGCACTCATTCATTCTACTAGGCTGTGGTTGGGCAGAGTCTAGGGGACAGTGAAAATATTCTCAAGGAGCAGCTGGAGAGGTGAGGGGCATATATCCATGGTGCTGTTGAAGTCAAATGCCACGTATTTGCCATAAAACACAGACTCCTGTGCCATAATGGGACCCAAAGTACCAGCCAGAGCTTTCACGTGAAGAGAATGACAAAAGTGTCCCAGTCAGTTCTGATGGCCCAAGAACCTCACAACCCCAGGGTTCCCAGGAAGGCTGTGTCCCAGTCAGAAAACCTAATGTGAGTTGCTGTCCCCTTCATCCCTAGTGGCCTCCGTCGGCTGCTAGGAGAGCAACTTCCCTGAGAGCAGCAGCGACCCGGGCATCTCTGGCTGGTAAGCGGCTTAGCACAGATGCCTACAGACCCCAGCGTTTCCACCCACAGGGCCCTGGCGGTCCAGTACTTGGGCATAGAGGCCGCAAAGCAGCATCCTGTTAGCTTCCCAGACAGCAAAGACTGGCTGGTGCTGATGCTCTAGTGCATGTCCCAGCAGCACCGTGCAAAGCCTCCAAGTCCAGAAATGATACCGTCTTCAGTCTCCAGTTAACGCTGAAGACCTTCACTAAATTCAGTGCACATCTCTCTTCTCCCAGAACATCGAGACCACGCTAGCTCATTCTAGTGTGTGTGTGTCTGCTGTAGCATGGAGGAAGAAGGAGGCGTACTCTAAAGAGAGAAAGTGGACCCATGGCTTTTGACAAGTGCTCCTGCTGTATCTCAGGAAGTCCAAAAATGTGTCTGGAAATTTAAAAGGTGCCCCAGAGTGTACTAAGCTGGCCAGTCCCTGACAGAAAACCTCTGATCAATAGTGCCCTGTATTTAATGACTAAAGATATTTCTTAGACACGGTTGTGTCCTACCCTCAAGGCTGAGAGGACGTTTGGGAGCAGGTTTACCAGGTAAGAAAAAGCTCCAAGCCCCTTGCTGAATGCTACTCTAAACAAAAGGTAACAGTCTGCCGCTCCAGGGGAGCACTGTGCCTTTGCTGAAGCAAGACGGGGGCAGCATCACTGCTGTTACTTTTGCCCAAAATGGAAACACCACCTCTTGCAGAAAAACTGAGTAAGAAAACCACAGGACCCCTCTGAAGTGGTGAATCGGAGAGAAACTAAAGCTCCGAGAGGTAAGAGATTCCAAGGAATTCATCCACCAAACCAATATTCTCTGAATGCACCTGTTAAACATTTTTTATTTTTCATTTTTTAAGTGTACAATTCAGTGTTTCTTAGTATTCTCAAAATTGTGTGCCATCACCACTGATTCCAGAACATTTTCATCACCCAAAAAAGAAACCCCATACCCTTAGCAGTCATTCCCATTTCCAACAGCCCCCAGCCCCTGGCAAACACTAATCTATATTCTGTCTCTAAAGATTTGTCTGTACTGGACATTTCATATAAATGGGATCAGACAGTATGTGGCCTTTTGCAACTGGCTTCCTTCGCTTAGCATGTTTTCAAGGTTCATCCATGTAGTAGCTTCATTTCTTCTTACAGCTGAATAATGTTCCACTGCCTGGTCATAACACATTTTGTTTCCCACTCATCAGCTGATCGACATTTGGGCTGTTTCCACTCTGGGGCCATTATAACTCACGGTGCTATGGACATCAGCACACGTTTTTGTGTATATGTATGTTTTCATTTATCTTGAGTAAATACCCAGCAGTGGCATTTCTGGGTCACATGGTAATTCCATATTTAATGTTTTGAGGAACTGTCGAACTGTTTTCCGAAAGGCCGTACCATTTACCTTCCCACCAGCAGTTTGTGAGGGCCTCCAGTTTCTCTGCCTCCTCACCGCACTTGCTATTCCCATCTGTTTGATTTCAGCCATCCTAGTGGGTGTGCAGTGGACTCTCATCGTGATTTCAATTTGCATTTCCTAGAGAATTATAATACCGAGCATCTCTTCTGTGCTTCTTGGCCATTTGTATATCTTCTTTGGAAAAATGTCTACTTAAATCTTTTGCCCATTTTTAATTGGTTTATTTTTCTTTTTATCATTGTGTTGTAAGAGTTATTTACATATTCTAGAGACAAGTCTCTTATTAGGTATAAGATTTGCAAACATCTTTTCCCATTCTGTCGGTTGGCGTTTCATTTTCCTGATAGCATCCTTTGAATCACAAAAGCTTTATATTTTGATTACGTCCAGCTGATCTATTTTTCCTTCGGTTGTTTGTGTCTGTGGTGTCATATCTAAGAAGCCACTGCCTAACCTAAGGTTACAAAGATTTATGCCTATGTTTCCTTCTCAGAATTTTAGTTTTAGCTCTTACATGTAGGTCTTTGATGCACTTTGAGTTAGTTTTTGTATATGGTGTGAGGGAAGTGAAGTTTAACGCCACTCTCTGGCATGTGCATATCCAGTTGTCCCAGCACCGTTTGTGGAAAAGACTGTTCTTTCCCCAGTGACTCATCTTGGTGCCCACGTCAAAAATCAACTGATCATAAATGTAGGTGTTCATATCTGACTTTATTCTATTCCATTGCTCTAGATGTCTATCCTTGACATCATGTTTTGATTATCGTAGCCTTATAGTAAGTTCTGAAATCAGGAAGTATGAATCCACCAACCTTGTTCTTCTTTTTCAAGGTTTATTGACTATTCTGGATCCCTCGCATTTCCTCACAAATTTTAGGACCAGCTTATCCATTTCTGCAAAGAAGCTGGCTAGGATTCTAACAAGGATTGCACTGACTGTGTATCAGGACAGTATTGACCTCTGAACAATATTAAGTCTCTGATCCATGAACACAGGATGTCTTCCTATTTATTTAAGTCTTCTTTAATTTCTTTCAATAATATGTTGTAGTTCTCAGGGTACAAGTCTTGTACTTCTTTTGTTATATTTTTTTCTTATCTATCCTTTCTGATGCTATTATGAATGGAATTATTCCTTAATTTCATTCTCATATTGTTCGTTACTAGTGTAAAGAAATACAATTGATTTTTGTATATTGATCTTGCATCCTGCAACCTTGCTGATCTTGTTTATTAGTTCTAATGAGGGTGTGTGTGTGTGTGTGTGTGTGTGTGTGTGTGAATTCCTAGGATTTTCCATATACAAAACGACATTGTCATCACAAATAGTTTTACTTCTTCCTTTCCAATCTGGATGTTTTTCATTTCTTTTTCTTTGCTTCTTAAACAATAGCTTCTTAACTGGTTCCCTGTGCCAGATGGTCTTATAGGATAATCTGCAGCTCCTAGGGCTACCCTCCGACAAGCTGGTCCCCAAGGGCACTAGGATTTGCCCACTCAAAGGCAAAGGCACCATCCTCCCCAGCGGAGATCCCATTCCCGCTCCTTACCCCAAGCCCAGAATACTGGGATTCCTGACCCAATTGGTCACCGATCTTATTTTACCACCTTTCACAAGATCCTAGAATAAAGGAGTAAAAAGATAGTGGAGTGACATTACAGGTCCAAGGGGAAAAAATAACCCACCCATTGCCCAGGGTAGCAGTGGGGTCACAGGCAGAAATATGTGGGAGCCCAGGGGACCCCGGGGGACTGTGTGCTGGCTGAGTCTTCTACATCTTCCACCATGGAGACCACTTCCCGCTCTACTTAAGCCACCCCCAGGTGTGGAGGGATACAAACCGACAGGTACCTTGCACACCTACACCGCCACCAAGGGGCGGACCATCCAAGTCAGCACAACCTGCGCCTCGGGGGGCTGCCCTGGCCCAGGCCGCTGTCACGCCATGGTTGGCTGGGAGCAGCTCCTCTGGCTGGAGCTGCGACGGCTCAGGACAAAGGAGGACGAGTTGCTCTTTTTGCTGAAGCTGGTCTCCCCCGGCCGGCTGCCCTTCAGGTAGCTGGAGGAGCAGCAGAGGAAACGCTGCACGAGTTCATGGAAGAGGTGGCCCGTGAAGAGCATGTAGATCCAGGGGTTGCAGCAGCTGTTGAGGCTGGCCAGGAGCATGGCGATGATGAAGGCCGAAGCTGAGGGGGCGGGGAGGGGCGGGAGAGACAGGCAATAGGGCATCAATACCAGACCAGCTCCCAGACCTGTCTGACCCAGCCCCGGTGTCCTGAGCAACAGCTTTATCCAAGTACCACATCCCCGTCACAAGACGAGGTACTAAGCAGGCAGAGCGTGCCTTCCTTCCCCACCCTGGGGTGCCCTCAGCCTGCCCCCAAGCCCTTCCAGGCTCAGCCCAGCCCTGCAACTGCCCCTGCCTTTGTCTCGTCAGAAGCCTACCTGCGGCTGCCCCCCTCAGCCGGAGCCGTGCACATCACGGCCACCTGCTCACGCATCACTCGCCCAGCAAGCGTTGGGCGCCTACGACTTCAAGTGTCTAGCAGCCCGGCACCTGGAAGCCGCCACACCTAGCTTGCATTCTAGCCCCACCAGCAGCTACTACTTTAAGTCCCAAGAAGCTTGGGTTTCCTAATCCTTAAATGGGGATAATGAGAGTGCTCAGACGTCCCGGAATGCCACAAGGACTAAACAGCGCCTGGTACATAGTAATTGCCCAATAAATGGTGGCTGTGAGAGGTGCCGGGCTAGACACTGAGAACACAAAAATAAACACAGCGAGAAACACCGCGATGCAGGGGTTGGGTGGGAACACACGGAGGTACCACCCTGAGAGAGAATCACGGCCAGCCCCACAGAAAGGGGCTCAGAGCTGGTTCCTGAGGCTGCTGGTGATTTCCTAGGCAGGGAAGGAAGAAGGATGCTCCAGGCAGAAGGGATGGCCCAGGCAAAGGCTCGATGGAACGAAAGTGGATAGTGTCTTCACAGCTGAGCAAACTGAAAGCGCTTCTGTGAAGATGCTCCTAAGAGCACTGCTTCAGTGTGGCAGTAAGACTTATACAGAAAAAAAAGTGACACTGAAATTAGCTGAGGCACTGAGTAAAAGCTACTGAGGACTCATGGAGTTTCAGGCAAAATTAATGGTCGGAAATCAACTTCAAGATACTGCTTGTCACAAATTTAAGCTTCAAGGGGGGAATAAAAAAGTCTGAATCTTAGGTATCTCCAAGCAGAGGGGAAACAGTCTGGGTTTCTTTCGGTGGCCTTGAATCTGCACAACCAGACATCTCCTGCCCACAGGTAAGGCCAGGCCACCTCCCCAGAAACCCACAAGGAAAACAACATAACCGAGAATTCTGTTCAGCCGCATCCTTACAAGTGAAGGCTGGGCAAACCCGCCAGTCTTCTGTCTTTCCTGCAGAATTTTTCAAAAAAAGAATTCCAGAATTCAAGAGGTAAATCCAGGGAGGGACTCTTCACCAGGCATGCTAGAGAGTTATAAGACCCAGAAGCAGCCATCGATGAAGAGAACAAAGATGTTTGTCCGCAAAGTCTCCAAGCACCAGGTGCAAAAGGGCAGTTGTTGGTAAGTCTAAGGGAGCGGGTCTCAAGGTGGGGCCCCCAGAGCAGCAGTATCACTTGGAATTTGCAAATGCAAATTCTCAGGCCCCACCCAGAACTGCTGAATCAGACCCTCTGAAGGTGGGGTCAGCAATCTGCTGAAATCCTGACGCACTCTCAAGTTCAAGAACCACGGGTCTAATTAACTGGTGCACCTGTTGGAACAAAAGCAAGTTACAGCCGACAAAAAACAAAATTCTTGCGAAAGAAAATTTTTAGAAAGCAAAGGAAAGGAATCTAATCTTAGAACTAAAATAATAAAGAAGGGAAAAGAGGAAAAGCAAAAAAAAAAAAAAGCCAATACTACTGAATCCCTTGCTTTGATTTTAATGGATAAGAAGATGAACTTAAGTTTAGAAATTCTGTTGAAATATTTCACCAACAAAATTAAAAATCACCCACAAGACTAAAATAGAATGTCTTCAAAATCATAAGAGGCAAAATGAACATATAAAAGTCAAAATTTAAAAAGGCATCAAGCAGTGAACAATCAGCCACAAAGGGGAGTTAGCGGGTATGCAGATCTACGAAATGGGACAGGAAGAAATGCCAGCAATGACGTTCACACTTGGACAGAAAGGCGCCCCATTTGCTCTCATGTGGACAGTTATATGGTAAAATCTTTCTCTGTTCATTTAAGCTGTGTGTCTCACATTTGGATCTTTTAACGTTTTTATCCTACCTTAAATAAAATTTTTTTTAAAAACCTACGGAAATGTCAACAACAAATAAAGAAATAGCTAATGAATTCTTAAGTAACCACACAAGGCTTTCTGCCTCCAGGAGGCCAGTCGGGTGGGAGGGGTCTGGCCAGCGCCTCTGCTCCCACCTGGCGGCCACAGACATGAATGACCAGCCTGGCCCGGCTCCTGGGGGAGCTACCAGCACTAAGGGCACATTTAGCTTTTTTTGATTTGGCGACACCCTGGTCATCCAAAGACTAGGGATTTCAAGGCTTTCCCATCAGCAGGGAGGAGAAATATTTGGGCATAAAGAGCAGGGACTATGGAGGATGTTTCAAAGGGCAGAAGCAGCAGGAATAAGGCCCATGGTGGAGAATATCTAAGATCATTCGGGGACTGCCAGGAGCACAAAAGGTGGGAAGGAGATTTTCATGAGAGAAGAGACTGGAAAGACGGTGTAGAACCAGGCTGGGGAGAATCTGGAATCCAGGCCGAGTCTGCACTTTATGGGCGATGGGGAGCCATTGATGGTTTCTGAGCAGGTGAGTGACTGATTCCACTTCAACCTTTCTGCACTGACTGTATCTCTTTTAGGCCACAACATTGCCCCTTTTGGTGACTAGAAAGGCCTCACAGGATTACAGAGGAGCCAGAACAGAACAAAGCCTGGGAAACATTGTTCTTGCATTTCACAATGCCATTTCTAAGGGAGCGTGTGATGATGCCAACAATGTTGACCATTGTTATCACCATGCAAGCCTGCACAGAACAGTTTTCAAAGCAGCCTTATCTTCATTTTATAGATGAGGAAAGTGAAGCTCAGAGAAGGAGAGCGACTTCCTGAGGGGCACACAGCAAGTCAGCCCGTGTTCCTATCTAAAAGCAATGAGCCTGATTCCTGTTAAAAATAAGTTAGCATTCTCACATCAGGTTGGTTCCAATTAGTGAATCCTCTTAGCCCTAAAGCAAAAACACAGGCTAGCTGGGCAATCGCCCTCATGGTATGATTTGAGAAACAGAGAGCAACTCTGTGTTCCCAAAGCAAATGTAGTCCCCCACTGAGAGTAGGCACTGCCCACTCCCTGGTGGTGGTCTTCTGCAATCCAAGCATACCTGGGAGGGGAAACACAGCACCTCCTATGAGATTACCATCCTTCCTGGCACAAGTGTCTCCTGGTCTAGACCAGGGATGAGCAAACGACAGCCCACCAGCCAAACATTGCCAGCTGCCTGTTTTTGTTAATAAAGTTTTATTGGGACACAGCCCTGACCGCTCATTCACATATTGTCTATGGCTGCTTTTGCACTACAAGGGCAGAGTTGAGAAGTTGTGACAGAGACCTTATACTCCACAAGCCTAAAATATTACTGCCAGGCCCTTTACAGAATAAGTTAGCCAATCCTTGATCTAGACGGCTATAGGATGCACAGACATTAAAAAGCAAGTGGTCTTCCCTCTGAAGTAGGCTGGGGTAAATAAGAAAATAAAGAAACTTGTTTTAATGATATAAATAATAATAATTTTAAAAGCAAGTGGGAAAGGGCCCAGAAAGGGGAGGGCAGATCCCAGGGCAAGCTCAGATCGGTTCGCCCCCTACCACAGTCAGCAGAGTTGTGTGGTGCCCTTGCTTTCGAGTCACGCAGACCCAGACACAAACCCTGACTCTGCCACTTTGCAGCTGTGTTCTTGCACAAGTCACCTAACCTCTCCTACCTTGTTTCTCCACCTGTGAAATGGGAATAATACAAGAGCTTCTTCGCAGAATTGTCGCAAAGCTTACTTACCTTGATAGGACACCAAGTGCTGCCCACGACTCCAGGCACTCGATAACAGTGAACACTTAACACAGTTTGGCTACTGTCATTACCACAATGACGTGTAAATGTGGAATATTATTTTTCTAATCAGTAAGAGAGTTGGTAGCACATGTGTGAAGCAAAGGGGAGATGCCGCTCCCTGGGCTGGGGTGCATCTTAGAGTCTGAAGCAGCCCAGGGTGCGGCACAAAACACAGGTCCTGCTGGTCGCACTTCCGGGAGCTTCGCTGCCATGTGGCGGCGTCTGTCCAGCACGGCTCCTAGGCCAGACTGCAGAGCCGAGAAGGCCAATTTATTTGTAGCTTCTTGTGCTGGCTCAAAAGGCCCCACTACCAGGGCAGCCTTCAGAGCAATCTGCCCTTCTCAGCCAGCTTATAATTTTCTGATGGGTTTAAACAGACTGAAAGTCGGGCCATCTTTGGGGAGGGCAGGATGAGGGTGTCTGGGCTCCACAAAGTCAATGGGGACCTGAGACAATGGACTAGCCTTAGAGAAGAACGCCCCTGTCTCATTCTCTCTTGCTTGGGGTCCTGGATACATCCGCCCTTACCCTGGAGATTTTAGGTGCTGGGCCAGTGGCCAAGCGCTAGGGTCTGTGGCAGGTCCCACACCAGCCTGGACCCCCGGCTGGGTGCCGCCGCTGGCTCCCAGCACCCGTGAAGTCATCCTGTCTCCTTCCTGCTCACCCACGTTCCAGCTTGGAGGTCTAGAGCCTGGCCACGTTCCTGGTGTTCCTCCACACTGAAAGCCTGACCGTGTTGCTGTCTTCTTTCGAAACATACTTGCCTACCGGGCAGGCAGTCCTCGAGGGGCACAGAGTGAAAAGGGCAATTAGACACGGTCGCTGCCTTCCAGTTGGTCCAGCAGGTTCACAGTGGGCGCTGTGGTGCCCCCAGCCCCGCAGGACCGGGCACTCCTTTGCCAGCTGCCAGAGGGCTGGCCGCGGAGTGCTGCAGCAGTTCCTCTCGGGGCATTGCCCCGGCCAGAGGGAGCTGCCACACCCAGCGGCCACTCAGCGGAAACGCACAAAGCCCAGGCCCCCGCCTTCATTCAGGCTCCTCT